AAAATAGTGCTGCTCAAAGGATTCTCCAAAGTAAAGAAGAGTCAGGCAGAGCTTTCTTAGGCATGTCAGATGTACAAGTAGAAGGGACATTCAAGTACTCAACAGGGGAAACGGTTATTTTTACCAACTGGAACCCAGGAGAGCCAAATAACGACAAAAATGATGAAGACTGTGTGGAGATTCTTGCCAGTGGTAAATGGAATGACATTTCATGTAGCAATCTATATCTAGTTGTATGTGAATTTCAGTTAACTGTATAAAAACTGGTGAGCTATTTGCCATATATCCATTATAGAACTGTATGCTATGTGTTCATCTTCTAAGAAAATGTGTAAAATAAAGAAAAGATAAAAACACTCATGCTTAAAGTCTGCACATTTAGATTTCTTTAAACTGCAGGAAAATTACATTATCTCATAACAGAAAATGATGGAGGAATAAAACGTGGTATACTCAAATGTTAATAAACCACCTCAGGACCAGAGACATGTCTTTATGGACCTTGCTTTGTGCACTGGTATGAAGTCATGTTGGAACAGGAAGGGGCCATCCCCAAACTGTTCCCACAAGGTTGGGAGCATGACATTGTCCAAAATTGTCTTGGTATGCTGATGCCTTAAGAGTTTCCTTCACTGGAACTAAGGGACCACGACCAACCCCTGAAAAACAACCCCACACCATAATCCCCCCTCCACCAAACTTTACACTTGGCACAATGCAGTCAGGCAAGTACCGTTCTCCTGGCAACCGCCAAAACCAGACACATCCATCGGACATGATTGATATTTTTAGAAAAAAAAATACACAGAAATGTATTTTAGTACACAGAAACACAATATAATACCCACATCTGGAAAGTGTAGCCACCTTTCCCTAAGCATGGGTGCTGCAAAAATATAAAAGATGTGGTCACATCAACTTAACGGATACCAAACATCTCAAAACTTAAAATTGTGCACGCCCAAGCAATGGTAAAAAACTATAGTACTCAACATTTTTCATAGGCGACGCTTAAAAAGCATTTATTGCTCATCCGTTTAGAGTTAACAGCAAATTATGGCCCTAGAATTATTGCTCTCACTCCAACGTTTGCAGCAATACCTAACATGTGCAGCACATGTGCATGCCCTATGTTCTCTTTATGTAGGCATTATGGGACATTATGTAGACATTATTGTACTTGGTCATCTGTTTACCAGACATTTCAGCCAGGCTTCTGACAGCTCTAAAGCAGAAAGTGCTGAGAGCATGGCACCTTTTGCTTCCGTGATCTAAGAGCAGATTGTGGGCTTTCCCTAGTCTGCTCTCACTCACCTTCCCATTTGAGGTGATCCTGGGCACCCTCAGAGGAGCAGAAGAGCCGGGAAACCATGGTGGGGAGTGTGGTGGTGGAGGGGCCACCTTCACAGGCCAGTACAAGTGTTCAGGTGGATCTACAGCCTACATACCAAGATCGTATACATGTACATCTTTTGATCCTGAAGTGGTTGAATTTATGTTAACAGCTTTGATGAGATTGTAGAGACACTGAAATGCTCATCTTTCCTGGATTCCTTCACCAGAATTCTTCCTGTGATATTCATATGAACAAAAAAAAAATCTAGACAGAGGACACATTGTCAAATGTCTACGTTTCTGATTATGTGAGCACCACTACAGGGAGCTCAAATCAGTTAATCTGTATTGATCTATCCCAGCAAGACATATCTAAATATTATATTGTTGCTAGCAAAAATAAAGTTATTTATGTAGTACTTGGCATACCACAGGAATAAATAACTTAATATAGATACTAACATAATGTAATATTCAAATCTACAAATTTACAAAAATGTAAAAAGACCCTGCCACCAGCTTAAAATTTGCAGGTAAAAGCACAGAAAAAATTCAAGTGTTTTACATGCTTGTGTGCAGTTTTTTTTCTTTCTAGTCATTTTTTTTTTACTTGTAATGTGCCTGTAAACAACACCCCTCCCTCCTTGCATGTCATAGCACCACTGGTGGAACTACCAGGGATGTAACTGCGACCGGGCCCTGGCGTTCCGCCTGTTGGGGGGGGCCCGGAGAGGAAGAAGAGGACCCCCCGAGATAGTGCCGCTCCTTCCCCCGCTGCTCTGCCACCCACAGCATGTACGGGCGGCTGTGCGGTGGGGGTGGAGAGGCGTCACTAGTCACACAGAATGTGCTGCAGGCACCGCCAGGCAGCACATTCTGTTGTGTGAGGACCCTCTCCACTAAGCCCTGCCCCCTTGCCACCGAGATGCGGAAGAGGGTTCTGCATGAGAGTTAGGTAAATCTGGACCGGGAAAGGGGGGCTCAGGGGAAGGTGGAAGGAGGGGGGATGCTGGTGGTATTCTGTAGTGCTGTTTTTTATTATAATGTATTGCTGGGACTTGTAGTCCCGCACAGCTGGTGGTATTCTGCATTGCTGTATAATCATTATACAGCAATGCAGAATAGCACCATCTATGCAAGACTACAAGTCCCAGCAATGCATTCAATTTTTTTATATAAATTCTTTATTTCAAAGTTTTCAAAAGTTTTCCGTCTTTTCCAAACAAAAGAGAAGGACAGATATATGTAATACAGGTAATAATCGTGTCATGTCGGCAGTGGCTGTCTTTTCCAGGGAGCAGAGAGATGATTACCACACACTTATGTTATGCAGATGAGTTAGTGTCTGGGGTTCCCAGAACCCTGAAGAACCCTGTATTAAATGGACAGGACAGAAGTTCTATTTTTGGACTAGATAAGCACCTGCATCGCTGTGAGCACCTGAGTACTAGAAGTTCTAGAGGATGTCTGTGTTACTGACACTTGCCTTGGAGTACTATGTTGCAAATGCCTCTGACAAGCTATGTTAAAGTAAATCTGTTAAAACACAATTCAGCAAACAACTGGACATGTCTGCTTTAAAGTAGAAAAGTAGTGTGGTGTTAGACTCCATGGCAGAGTCAGTGCAGCAGGGGCTGGTTTATCCGATGTCCATCCCATGTCCTCTATGAGGTAATATGAGTACTAAACCTGGTACTGGGTACTGTATTGAGTAAGCCCCAGAGTTAAGTGTGAACAACAATAACTCGGGGGAAACTGTGGATACCAACCAATGACTGCAGAGGTTGTTCTTGGGGAAAGTGGCATTATCCCCTGCGACCAGTACCCATGTGAGTCAAGTCAATTCAGCAAGTTTGAAAAAAAAAGAGTCTTTGGATATTCATAATGGGGCATCTTCCTGGGCCACCAGTGTGGATACGTATCACAAGCACTATATGGAGCTTGCTCAGCATGGTCGGTAGGCCCTGCCTACAATTGTTTCACTTATCACCCGTTTCTTTAGACTACATTCTCACGTCAAATAAAGAGATACTGTTGCTATAAAAAATGTAAAAAAACTGCCTGCAAAAGAAAATGTTTAAATATTTACCTCCCTAACAGCCAGCGTTTCGCTGTCTTAAAGGGCTCCTGGTGGCTTATGAATCTTTGGCATCCAACACAGTTCCAAGTCTTCCAGATGCCTGATTCGAACCCTAGTAACCCTTTGTTTTTCCGAACAGATTAAATCTTTGCTAACATACTGTACCTTATATTGCTAAAGGTTTTTGAATACCTGACCATCACCAACTGTGGCTACAAGTATATGGGCACCCCTCCAACTACGTTTTTGTGTTTAAAGTAAAGGCACAAAAATTTGGGGAAGACCTCTTTCTGCTTTAGCATGACTGTGCCCCTGCACACAAAGCTAGATCTATAAAGACATGGTTTGGTGAGTTTTATGTGGAGGAACTTGAATGGCCTGCACAGAGGCCTGACCTCAACCCTGCTAAATACCTTTGAGAGGAATTAGGATGCCAAGTGTTAACAAGTGAAGGCCTTCTTGTTAAACATCAGTAACTGACCTTAGAAATGCTCTTTTGACCAAATGAGCACACATTTCCACAGATATGCTCCAAAAGCTTGTTGAAAGTGTTCTAAGGAGAGCAGAAGACGTTTTAACCAAAAAGGGTAGCCAACTCCACAATAATGCCTATGGTTTTAAAATGTTATCTCCAACAAGCTCATATTGAGGTGACTGTCAGGTAACCACAAATCTCCTTTGTCTTTTCTTCTCTGTACACATGGGCTGGGTTAGCTTAATGAGGAACTAGAAATACAGGGCACATTTCCATTCACTGCCACATGCCCAATATTGGAAAAACCTCATATTCATGCTGATGCTTTTATATTCCTGGAATTAGCCTGACAGCTACACAGTACTCAACAAAACAAGGGATGCAAAACTTGTTTTCAATTCATTTATCTGTTGTTCTATCATTAGCAATCTAAGCAGAAATCGGATGATGAGGTTAAAAAAGTAACAATTTTTCCTTGCACAGCACTGCAATGGAAAAACACAACATGTGGTGGGAGAAATATAACACATCAAGACTTTCCAGAACATGATGGAATGCCTTAGCTTCAGAGAGGGAGAATTACCAGAACTTTTCAGGTGTACTGAATTATTATCAACCGTAACAAAATAAAACCTATAGTTTCCTAGCAAAAAAGGGTATTACACATGGACGCCTAATGCTGTTATAATGAGTGTCTATAATCACACACCTTTTTTCCATTGTATTATTTTATCTGCTGTAGTAGTAAACCTTTAGATTGTTATGCATTAAAAAAAACATGCATGTTCCAAAGATATAAACCATGACCTCTTTCGTCAGGTACAAAGTTCTAGACAATCCAGAATAATCGATATCCTTGCAAATAAAATGGACAGATGCCATAGAGCTGGTCTGTCATGATATCAATTTGGTTGGGAGCAGATACAGCTGATATAGAACACCGAATTTCTACAACAATAACTAGCCAAGTAATACTTTTTTACATTAACTTAGACATCCATTTAATGAGTATAGCATCAAACAATGAGTACCACATAAGGGGAACCAATTCTTTTATTTTGTTACAGGTTAAACATCTGAATTATGAATCATCTCACGAAGTGTGTATGCATGCTAATTGTATTAGCTGTGTTTATTACCATGAGTCATTCAGAAACACCAGCCATGTGTTCTGTTGTACAAGGTCTTTCGGGTTTAAATGGAAGAGATGGTGCTAATGGACCTAAGGGTGACCCAGGTAAGATTTCTTATTTTCTACTTTAAATGTTTTGTCCACATTTGTTTGAAATGCACATTATTTTGAAATGTTCATAATGGGTGTCTTCATGTGGTAATGTTACATCATCAATCTGTCAGAAATTGAAATGCATAATAAAACTTTAGAAGGTTATTGATATTCTGCGCTTTGGAGTGTTCCCCAGCAAACTATAAATATGAAGCTGCTGTACTATAGACAACCTGGTCTAGCTATAAATATAAATAAATGTACAGCGCTAAGGGCCCAGAGGGCAGCTAATAACATAAATCTATTCTAAAGGTGATTTATAAAATAATTAATTAATATCAATCATGTGTAAATTAATACATATTACGACTATATGAAAAATTATTAATAAGTATTACCACTATATAAAAATTGTGCAATCAATGCAAACAGATGCAAATCGTGCAGAATATACATGTGCAAAAAATTGTATATTCATAAATATCTAGATAAGAATTGCTTATCTTATAAAGTGATTTAAATGTCTCCTTTGAATTCCTTTATGATACCATTAACTCATATTTTTAGGTAATTAGTCCATACTCCATTAAGTGAAAAAATGTATATTGTGAAAAATAAATATTCAATTGTGAAATGATAACAAGTCCCACAAAGTGCTTGATGATCTCTCCAGAGATTGTGATTGCGACACGCAGTCACCCCCTCAAGAGTGCGCACTCACCACACTGAAGCTAGCTATAGATTGATATCCAGAAAGCTCCTTAGTAGACCCCAATGTCCCAGCATCTCCTTTACATACTTTCACCGAGATGTCCCATAGATCGATATATCCCACAATAGGATGGCTGTTAATAGATATCCAGAAAGCTCCCAGAAAGACCCCGTTGTCCCAGCGTCTCCTTTAGATCCTTTCACATAGATGTCGCATTGATCGATATATCCCCATAATCATAGAAAGAAAAAACTCCTCATTGTATGGTAGTCAAGACCATTTATTTAAAAAAGATTTAAAAACTCACAATATAAATTTTCTCACTTAATGGAGTATGGACTAATCACCTAAAAATGAGTTAATGGGATCATAGAGGAATTCAAAGGAGACATTTAAATCACGTTATAAGATAAGAAACAATTCTTATCTAGATATTTATGAATATACAATTTTTTGCACATGTATATTCTGCACAATTTGCATTTGTTTGCATTGATTGCACAATGTTTATATAGTGGTAACAATTTTATATAGTGGTAATATTTATTAGTAATTTTTCATATAGTGGTAATATTTATTAATTTACACATGATTGATATTAATCAATTATTTATAAATCACCTTTAGAATAGATTTATGTTATTAGCTGCCCTCTGCGCCCTTAGCGCTGTACATTTATTTATATTTATACATAATAAAACGTTGTCAGCTCTTTTGAGTACACTGAAATAGACAAGGTAAATTATGTGCCTTTTAGCCCCCATTTACACTTGAGCTTGAGTGTTTTCAGATGATTTGTCAACAATTTTTTGCACGCATTTTTAGGCGTTTTCAGGCTTTGGCATTTTTGTTTTAACCATTGGAAAGCTGGCTAATAGGAGGCAGAGATGGTTGTTACGTGCAAAATAGTGCAAAAAACATGCACATTTTCAGACAGGCACTCCAATTGAAGCCTTTGGGGCCAAAAACATGCAATTCTAGTTCTACCCATGAAGAAGCTCATGCACATTTACATGTTATAAGCTTCAAACTATAGGTGACACATTGTTCAGGTGTGAATGGGTCCAGCTGAAAATAATGGAATTCCTTTTGTTGAGCGTTCTGTTGTGCTTCAGAAAACACGTGACAGGTGTGAATGGAGGTTAAAGATGACTGCAATGGAACTATATATGAGCATGTTTTACCAACACAATACATAAGTTATGTAGCTGTCTTCATGGGAGAAAGGATATTGTTCAGTACTGTGCACTCCAATAATGCTTTTATTCCTAGGAATCAATACTCTTAAATGTTTTCTTAATTGTAGGATATTTCTGACAACCACTACACCTAGCTGGGCACAGTGTGGAGAAGCTCTTGGTTTATTCCTGTAGATCCCTGGTGCCCAGCATACAGCCCTTTGTGACTTATTGTGTAGCATTCGGGGGCCCCAACAGACAGTCGACAGACAATTTGTGTTTTTCATACCCAGGTGCTCACTGAAGAAAAATATTCTTTAGATTGACGTCTAGTAGTTAAATGGTTTTGTTAATTTCTTTTATACTAATTAATATTTGTTCTGTGTTTTCCATCCCTTTTCTCTTCCTTTTCTTATATAATGGATCTTTCTGAAAGAACAATAAAATGTAGGGAGCAACACTGCAGAACAATTGATTTGTAAAGGCTTTAATTGCAGTGATCTCCAACAGTCTCATGTAAGGTGTCTCAAGTCTCTAAACATCTTTTTTTGCATGTCTGCAGTCCCTGACAGCTTTTTGTAGCAATACATTCACTGAATATTATGTGCTGCCCTTTGGTGATGTCATGGCTGCACCTGAGGGCCCCTTCATCAAGAATGTTGACCATCACTCCTGTAGACAGACACGCATCAACCTCAAATCAGTGGCATTTAACATTTAAGAGTTACATTTATTTGCCCTAAGGGCCTAATAAACTATACATGGTGTAGTGCAAGGCAGTGTGCCATGTATGCTTGTGTTCATGCAATGCCCTTATTAACCAAATTTCCTCCTGGAGCTCTAATTTTTAGGTGCATATTGCACAGCGACAGTGCACCAGCTGCTATAGCAAATCACTGGATTGCATCTCCTCCTCTCTCTCTCTCCTGCCATCAGGAAGTGATAGCCGGATGTAAAGAAAAGTGAATGCATGGAGCAACCTGCTGTCTGCTCCCTCTGGTCAGTGTCTGTCCAGACACAGACTACAGTGAACCTGCCACCTGCCATCTTCCAAATACAGAAAGATAAATATTGGTATTGGTGCATCCCTACTACAAATAAAAATGTTACTGTCCCAGAGACACTTCAGGAAACATTGAGCAGTAGCAAGGTGATAGTTTATTGTATCCAGGTAGAATAGAACAAACTATACAGACACAAACAAGGGTTTTCTTCAAAACAATTACAGTGTTGTATATCAAATATACTTGTAAAACAATCATCAGTGGCAGCACATTAGGTAAGCTGCTCAACTAGGCCAAAATGTGTTAACACAAGGCAATATTTATGTCAGCAATTTAAATATTCTAAGCGCAGGAAAATATGTCAGTTTGAGTGTACCCAAGGACCACAGCATGGGAGCCATTCTACAGCAAAGTCCACCACTCCTTGCAGCTTGAGCTAGTAAATACCAGGTGACTCCTTAGATTCAGAGCCGGTGCTACCCTACAAGCAAGTCAAGCGGCTACTTGAGGGCGCCGAGGAGGAGAGAGAGGGAGCGCTGACAGGTGTGATTAGAGCCGCCTTTCTGAGTGGAGCTGAAGCTGCAGTGGCCGGGAGGAGAGAGAGGTAGCGCAGAGAAGTGTGATCAGAGCAGTCTTAAAGAGGCCCCCCTCCCAGTTCACATCTTTCGGATGTTATTAATCTGAGTTGCCCCACTCAGTTTGCCCGTCACTTGCGGCCAGATTGAGTGGGGCACTCAGATTAATAACGTGCTGGATTAGTCTGACCCAGGGGCAGACTGGGCCAGGGGGCAGGGTGGTAATTGCCCACCCGGCCTCTCCGATACCTTTGCAAACGCCCTCCGCCACTGCTGCCGCAAGCACTTCATCTGTCCCCTCTCGGCCGCTGCAGCAGCAGAGCGGCCAAGAGGGCAGAGATTAAGTGGTTGTGGCACAAAAATGCACCTTCGCCTGTGTAGGCAAAAATCCTTCCACCGGCCCTGCTTAGATTTCACAGTCTCGAGTCTTGGGCAAATTGGCCACTGGCACCACATTTTCAAGACAACAAACCCATGCCTAAATGTACAGATACAGGGCAGGGAGAACAGGGCCAAATGTTGAGACAAAAGGCACAGAGATTTTAATTCCAAAAAATTAGAGCTTTAGCTCTTTCTATATTCAAGGTGGTCAAATGATTTTTTGGCAAAGGGAAGGAGAAGAAGGAGGAGAGGTGCCAGGAGTTGGAAATGGCAGCAATGCCATCTTCCCGCTACTCATCTAGGCAGTTGGAGTGAGGTAGGAGACAGCTTCTCCCGACTCAATCTCCCTCTGTTAAAGGAGAACTATGGGGTTAATGCTTTTCCCCATAGTTCTCCTTAGGGTAATGGGAGGACACAAACTAGTGTCCTCAAGTCACCCTAGGCTCAGTATACTGAGACGCCACAGTATACCGTGAACTGTTGCTCGCGGTATACTAAGACGCCGCAGCTGAAGCGGATCCCGACATCGATGTCGAGATCCGCCAAGCTGCGTGACTGACAGCTGGCTCTGCCTATCTAGAAGCAGAGCCAGCTGTACCCGCCCCCTCCCCATCCGTTCCGCCAGTCGGCGCTGGCGGATCGGAGCGGGGAGGGGGGAATCCAGATCCCTCCCCTGTCACGGCAGAGAGCCGTGACAGGATCAAGAGGTGAGCGAACGCCGCTATGTGTTCGCTCATCTCCCTATCTACTGAGCCGACCTGTGACAGTCTCATTGTCACAGGTCGGCTAGAACTATGAGGTGAGCCTCAAAGCAGCCTCATGTGCAGATCTGTGGCTGGTCAGATCAGGGGCAGATCTGCTGGTAATTTCTTCACAATGTTGTATAACAGATAGTAGTTTATAGGGCACAGAAATTTGGCATTGATGTGACAAATTGCAATTCCTGATTTTCCAGGTTTTGCTGCACATGCTGATCATCATTTTCAACATAGGTATGATATGTCGATGATTCGGTTCGTGTCATATGCACATCACATGTGGTTCGAAATTTTTATACCAGCAATAGTTTAATGGGCCCAATGGTTTAATAATAAACATTATTTATTGTATCCATTACTTTAGCATACATACAAGTTGCAAACTGTCAATATTATTGTTAAATGTTCTCTTCAGGTGTGCGTGGGGAGCCTGGAATTCCAGGTGAAAGAGGAAACCTGGGTCCCCCAGGAAAAGTAGGACCAAAAGGCAATCCAGGGGAAAAAGGAAATGCTGGAGTTCAAGGTAATAGTCTGCTTGATTGGATCACTGAATTAATCTGCATTTCTGTGAGACAGCAAAGGCGGTCATAATAAGCACCAGGGGTTGCTACAGACTCTCCTCTTCCTTTACTCAATATTATTTTATATTTCTGAAGAACATTGAATATATGAATTGTAGGGTCTATAGCTTGATCACAACACAAGGCCCTTCTCTAATTCCTAAGTAACTTAGGAACATCACAATGTGGGATAGTACTCGGAATACGGAACGGAATACATTCAGCAGAAGATCGTACATTGTTTACAGTGATTGCTGTATACCACAATATTGAGGACCAACCAGGGAATGCAATCTGATTAACTTTCATATATAGCTATACCCTAAATATTGGTGTAACAGGAAACATGATCAGTAAGGTAAACTAAACCTTTAGGGAAACATTCACTAGCAGCAGGGCAGATTTGTGTTTAGATTGAATATGCTAAGGCTTAGATCTTTACACTAAAAATAAGTGTACTGTCCCAGAGAAAAAATTGACAGAAAAAAAAGGTGATAGTTTACCGTATCCAGGTAGAATAGTACAGACACAAAAAAGGCAAGAGGGTTTTTTCAAGAAAATAAGCAGCGCAGCACATTAGGTAAGCTGCTCATATAGGCCGAAATATGTTAACACAAGGCAGTATTTTTGTCAGCAATTAACATTTTCTAAGCGCCAGCAAAAGATGTCAGTCTGACTGTACCCATGGACCACAACATGGGAGCCATTCTACAGTAAAGTCCACCACAGCTTGCAGATCTGGCTAGTAAATACCAGATGACACAGATTTTGCACCTTGAGGCTTGGGCAAATTGGCCACTGGCACCACATTTTCAAAACAACAAGCCCAGGACTAAATGTACAGATACAAGGCAGTGAGAACAGGGCCAAATGTTGAGACAGAAGGCACAGAGATTTTAATTCCAAAAAATTAGAGCTTTAGCTAGAGCAGGAGAAGGAGAAGAAGGAGAGGTGCCAGGAGTCAGAAATGGCAGCAGTGGCAGCAACAGCTAGAATTTGGTTTGGTATTTTCTAGGTTAAAATCTAAACAATAAATGTATTGATTGTATCAGTAATATTTCCAGTGGGTGTTTGGTAGTCCTCTGTTATCAAGGTCTGATTAATTTTATTAAAAGTCCGGCTCTCAGTCACAAGTCCCCCCCACTGCACCTGCACCCTCTTCTTTCAAACCCATTACTCCTACACGCCTATCTCTCATCCCTCACCAACACTGCACCTTCTCTTTAGTACACACCATATTTGCAACACCCTCTCTCAGCACCCACTGCACCTGCACCACCCTTTTGTCAGCACCCACTGTGCAAACGATCACCCACTGCACATGCACCCCCCCCCCTC